AGGTTTTCTCTAGGTTTTCTCTAGGTTTTCTCTAGGTTTTCTCTAGGTTTTCTCTAGGTTTTCTCTAGGTTTTCTCTAGGTTTTCTCTAGGTTTTTTTATAGGATCCCAGGTGCACACAAGGGAAAACCCCAAAGATGCACACCCCATTTATACATTTATACATTTATACACCCCATTTATACCCCAATAATACATTTACAATTCTTACAGACTTGACAAATTAGCAGATCTGTCCAGAATCCCCCAATAAGAAATTTAATAAATGAAAAAATGTCCCCGTTTTAAAGATTTCCCCCAGGAAGATGCCAAATTTATTAAATTTCTTATTGGGTTGAAACCTCGAGTTTTGGGATCACACACAGCTCACTGTCCTCCTGCTGGGGATGTTTGGGTCTTCTGCCCAGCAGAACCCCAAAACTCAGCTGGAATATCAGGCTGCAGGGGGCAAGGAATACTTAAAGGGTTCAGAAAATATTTTAAAGGATATAGAAAATATATAAAATTATGATATATAAAAGGATATGTAAAATATAAAAAGGGCCTATAAAAGATATATAAGGGTATAAAAAATATATAAAAGGGTATATAAAATATCTAAAAGGGTGTATAATATATGCAAAAGTGTCTATAAAGTATATTAAAGTGTATATATAAAATACATAAAAGAGTATATAAAGTATATAAAAATAAAAGGGTATATAAAATATTTAGAAGTGTGTATAATATAGGTGTAGAAAATGTCTAAAAGGGTGTATGAAAAGTCTAAAAGCGTATATAAAAGGGTATATACAATACATAAAAAGATATATAATATATCTAAGAGGGTATATAAAATATAGGAAAGGGTGTATAATATGCGTAAAAGGATCTATAAAATATATTAAAGTATATATGAAATGCATAAAAGCATACATAAAATATATAAAAATAAAAGGGTATGTAAAATATATAGAAATGTGAAATAATATCGATAAGAAGATGTAGGAAATATCTAAAAGGGTGTAGGAAATGTCTAAAAGGGTACAGAAAAGGGTGTAGGAAATGTGTAAAAGGGTATATAAAAGGGTGTAGGAAATGTGTAAAAGGGTATAGAAAAGGGCGTAGGAAATGTCTGTCTATAAGGGTGCAGAAAAGGGCGCAGGAAATGTCTAAAAGGGCGCAGGAAATGTCTAAAAGGGCG